ATGTTAGAAGTAAAACCGTAGTTTGAGCCGATGCATATCTCATATGAGTCGACTCATGTTAGTTACAAAACCTAGGATGAGTCGATACAATGCATTATGTATCAATACATACTGTTATGAAGACATATTACATAGAGACAAAATGTGTATGAGTTGATGTAAAACACGAATGTGTCAATGCAACTAAGAAAAGAGTCGATGGAAGCCATTATGTATTGATACAAACTGTTATCTACACAGAATCCAGAACCTTTAATTTCGTATGAGTCGATACAAAATGTGAATGTATCGATTTATACTGAGTTAGTTTTTGATTTCCAAAAACAAGAAGTTATATGTATCGATGCATAAGTGCATGTGTCGATGCATAAAGGTTTTTAAAACGTTTTCCAAAAGCATGAACTTGACATGTATCGATGTAAAGTGTGAATGAGTCGACTCATACTGAAGTACAATTATTTTTGTGATTTTAGCTTAAGTATGTGTCGATGCAAAGTATTTTGTATTGACCCGAAATCATGATACATGTGTAAAATATATTTTTGACCCTTTTAGAACATGCTACACTATTATCATATCATGCACACATAGAGATCAAACACAATAAACATTCATTAATACTTATATCACACATATTTACTATCATACAAAACTACTCAAAGAAAAGGGTTGCTCACATATGGTGTTTTCCAACACCACGAACATTGTTAGGCAATATCCCACGAATAGCCATCAGTAGTAGCTGTTGCGTTAAGACATGACAGTCATGAGATTTTAAGCCAACTAATTTGATATCTTTAACTAATACAAGCCTTTTGACATTTGATGAGTAACCATGTGGCACTTTGATACTTTGTAAACATTCACAGAAACTTATTTTCTGTTTTTTGGACAAAGTGTAGCAGGCAGAAGGCAAATATGTCTTGTTACCTATATATTGTGGAGTTAACTCTTCTCGTATGCTTATCAAACCTAAATCTAAACGAGCATTAATACCATCTGTTCTCTTGCCTTGAATGTTGAGAAGTGTTCTGATTACACTATCACATACATTTTTCTCCAAGTGCATCACATCAATACAATGTCTTACATCAAGACTAGACCAATATGGAAGATCGAAGAAAATATACCTCTTTTTCCATGTATTTTTCACACTAGATTGCATTTGGTACATTCCAAATACGACATTAATGCCCTATTGTATTTGATAAACTTCCTCTCCAGTTAAGGGCGTTGGAGCAACATCATGCTCTTGTTCCCCATTGAAAGCTTTCCGTAATCTATGATATGGATGATAATGACTTAGAAATTTTCGGTGCTCAAGATAAACAATCTTCTTTCCTTTTACAAGATGATGGTAACATGTATCTTGTTCACATATAGGACACACTTTATGCCCTTTAACTTTATACCCAGATAAATTGCCATATGCCGGAAAATCGTTGATGGTGCAAAACAACATCGCACACATATTGAACTGTTCTCCAGAATACACATAAAATCATCCACCCCTTCCTCCCATAATACTCTTAAATCATCAATCAATGGACTTATATAAACGTTTATGTCATTTCCTGGTTGTTTTGGGCCCTAAATCATCATCGATAGCATAATATATTTACGCTTCATGCATAACCTAGGAGATAGGTTGTAAATCATCAAGAGAACATGCCAAGAAGTATGATTAGTACTTAGATTACCAAATGGATTCATTCCACCAGTAGAAAGTCCAAGTCTAAGGTTTCTCGACTCTTTTCCAAAGCTTGGAAACAAAGAATCTATTTTCTTCAATTGCAAAGAATCAGCTACATGGCGAATTTGTCCATCACAATTTCTTTCTTCTGCATGCCATCTAAGATTTTTTGTGTCGTTTACATTAGCGAATAGTCTCTTGAACCTTGAAATTACTGGTAGGTACCATACCACTTTCGCAGAGGACCCTTTTTGACCACCTCATCTTTACTAGAATCACCATCTTTCTTTTTGTAGCGTGACACCTTGCACTTCGGACAATGATTATAGTTTACATACTCTTTTCGGTATAATATGCAGTCATTAGGGAATGCATGTATCTTTTCATACTCCAAACCCATCAGACATAATATTTTCTTCGCCTCGTAATAACGAATTGGCATTATGTTACCTTCTAGAAGCATTTCTATCAATAATTCAAGCAATTCAGTAAAACTTTTATCAGTCCGTCCATTGTTCGCCTTCAGATTAAACAATTTTAACACGACTGACAAACGTGTAAAATTTGTGCATCCCGGATACAAAGGATTATCCTTGTCACTGCATAAAGTATCATATCCATGTGCCCTCTTAAACGAATCTTGTCCAATATCACGCATCATGTCTTCCAAACGATCATCCATATCGACACTAACATCATCTCTTTGGGACACGTTTGAATTTACTACTACTTCACTGGGTCATATCCATTATGTATAACTTTGACAGGTCACTACACAAATAAGATGATCCATGATTTCTTTATTACTAAGTTTTGGTTCTTTATTTGCACAACGAACACATAGACAGAGAAAAAGCGCATGCGGACTTTTTTCAGCATTACTTTCAGCAAACCGTAGAAATTCCTTCACTTCATGTTCGTACTCAACACTTAATCGATTAGCTCTCGTCCAACTACGATCCATACCTATGTTCTGAAATTAATGAATACATAGTTAAATCATTAGAAATTTCTATTTCTAATATACTTTTTTAATAATTAATGTTTTTTAACATTCTTTACTTGTTCTAACATAATGTGATGTTGCGGGATTGAAACTTTGTTGGTGGTTAGCATGCAAGATTAAATAAAACTAACCACCAAATCACCGTTTTACATCTTCTAAAATAAAATTTTAATTTGTTCTAATTTAAATCCATGGGGGTTATCAACAACATTTTAATTTTTTCTAATTTAAAATCCATGGGGGTTAACAACAACATTTTAATTTGTTCAAATTTTAACCAAGAATCCATGGGGTTAACAACAACATTTTAGTTTGTTCTAATTTAAATTCTTTCCTTTAGATAAAATTTAATCTAAATCTGGATAATAATAACAATAATGATAAATCAAACCTTTTGGAAATGGAGGGAAAACGTCGGAGGCGGAGGGAGACATAGAGACACGAAAGAACACAGGGACGTCGGAGACAGAGGCAGACGAAGGTCGTATGGTGACCGCGGTTGCAGGTGACAACATCCAGAGGTGGAAGGAGCTGGAGGGAGACGGTTTCAGAGGGAGATGGACGAGAGAGATGATGCACGGCACAACTGATGACGTCCGGAGGCGGATGGTGACAAAGGGAGACAGTTTCGAAGGGAGACAAAATCATAGGGAGATGCTCGAGAGAGATGAGGTGCGATGTGTTTATGAACATTTGAATAGTATCATTAGGGTTTTGTGAATTAAAATGGGTTTTTACATCGGTTGGGCAAATGGCCCGATGTAAGGGCGAATCTTTTACATCGGTTGGCCCTTAGACCGACGTAAGGGCCACTTTTTTTTAAACAAAAATGCACCTTATTTACAAAACTGCCATCGTGTTTGTATTATTTTATGATTGGACTTTTTACATCGGGGGTTAGTAAAGGCCCGATGTAAAATCCCTTATAAAAATTTTCACTTTATTTACCAAACTGCCACCTTGTTATATTTTCATCTAAATCACATGTTTTTCATATCAGGGGAAATAAAAGTCTGATGTAAAATCTTTTGACAAATATTTTTACACAATTTATTTTTATACCTGATGTAAGGGCCTTTTCTCAAATGTCATATTCTAAGTAGTGTGTGGGTGAAATGTCTCTTTGGGGTCTCATCATCCCTGATGAAGATGAAAGAATTTGAAGTGAATATGGTAATTATACCTTCCCTCTTTATGTATATCTATTTTAAGCCTTGGGTGTCCGTTTTCCCTTCACCATTTTCGAGATAGGTGTTTTCAACTACTTAATTGTGACCCCATCTCAACTTCACCCAACAAGTTAGGCGTATGTGAAGGCTTGTCAGTATTTTTGTGAATATTTGAAGGGAAAACCTTCTGTCTTCTTGATCTTTCATCTCTTTCATTGAAACTGGGGTACTTTAGCCTAACCAAGAGAATCAAAGTTGGTACTTTTGGTTCCAACGATATGGACTTTTGATGACTTTCTTGATTTTTTTCCCTTTGGTGATCGTTTATTTTTAATCACGCCTCTTTAGACCAAAGCTCATGCAATTATGTGTGAGGTCGAGTTGGGAATGGAAGGTAAGTGGAAATCTCTATTTCCTCATTTTTGGTCGGCGAAACACTTTCTCTTGGAGAACAACATATATGTTTAAAAGGCGATTTTTCTGCTGGGGATTCTTTTTTGAAGAAAAACCTGTTGGACTTCATTAATCGTCTGGGTCATATTGGAGGTGTAGTCCCCATAGGCGAAGCCAATAAAAATAGTTTGAAGTGTCGAATATATGCCTTCTTGTTCATAGGATCTAGCTCTTGTGAGGACTGTCGAGTTTCCTTTGGTAAGTTTGAAAATTTTCTTTATTCTTTATTGTTGGTTTGTCCTCTATTTGTGTGTGTTGAGATAATAATTGTGTTTCGTGCATATGTAATGGAGGATGAAATGAGGGTCCTGGTTCTAAAATAGGGAATATAATCTCCCGACAAATTCTATATGTATTTCTTTTTCTTCAGAACCTCTTCATAATGTTGCTTTCTTGAGTGCTCCTCCAGGTTATAGGGAACTCCTCAAAATGTTGTTTTCTTGACTGCTCCTCAGATCTGGCTATTGGGAAGCCCCTCGAGATGTTGTTTTGTTGACTGCTCCTCAGGTTTGGCTATTGGGAAGCTCTTGGATAGACTAGGTGTGCAACGAAAGGAGCAAGTTGGAGAGATGTGTCAGCAGTTTTACTTTTTGGGGCACATATTTAAGAGATTTGTAGAAAATTGCATCCTTTTTACCCGAGGTGCACAAAGCTCTGGCTCTGCTAGATCTCCCTAGTATTATGGATTGTCCGGTGATGCATTTGTAAAAAATGATGGATAGAAAAACAAAGGCTCTTGATACTTTCCAAAATGAATTGGAGTTCTTTCATAATCAATGCTTCCCTTGGGAAAATGCAGATTCTTTTGAGAATACGCTGCAGCAGGAGAAACATTTCCATAATTCGTTGGTTGTTTCAAGGGAGCAAATCCATTCGGGTGAGATCCTTCAAGAGGGTTGTCTCTATTCTTGAATAAGACCCCTATATCCGCCCCATTTTTTTGGAGTGCATGTAACTGTACTTTTTTCTGTTGTTAGTAATATTCCTCTTAGTATCTATATAAGTTGTGCTTTCTATATTGTAAATATTGTTCTGCACCATATTGTTGGGTTTGTTTATGTTCTTGTAATTTATTCATGTTTTCTACCATAACATTTATTAAATGAAGAATATTAAAATCGAAAAACCTTAAGCGGTGATCCATCTCGACGTGACTCTGCTTGGGATCGAACGTCGGGGTAGGCGCTAGGATTTTGTCTCGGCCTTTTCATCATTGCCGATCAAATAAATCCTATTAAGTTATTTTTAAGAGAATGTCGGGATACAAGTGTAGATGTCTGAGTAACTTTGTCCCCGTTATCTTTTATTTCTATTTGTTCTTATAAGATTTGTCAGGCTTTCGTACCTCATCTTGTTAACAATGTTTATTTACGTTATTACCTTTTGCATTCTTGTCCTTCCGTTTTTTAAACCACGCTACTTTTAATCGTCACGTTTAACCTTGTGAGAGCATGAGAGTGTTAAGGTTTGATTTTGAGCCCTTAAAACTTTCGTGAAGCTAGGTTCAACCATTTTACTTATGAGTATGTCGCGTTAATATGTACATGTTTTGTTAAATGAGATGTTGGTTAGGTTAAATATGTCAAGGGCATATATTATATTAAAAAGAGGGCATGAAACCGGCGAAATACGACCATGCTTTAAACCGCGCTCCATGTCACAGATGATCGTTCCCCAACCAAGGGTAGAAGATCCTCATCCCTTCCCCTGAGGCAAGGCTCAGATCGAGGTTGATGTTTCCAGACCCCACCCCTCACGTCCGTTGGATTTATTTGAAAGAGGAAATTTGAATGTTGTATTCAAACGTGGAAAACATCTCTGATAGCACCCTTGGGGGAATTCATTGTTTTAGTTATATGTGCAAAACGTCTCCAACAACTCCCTTGAATTCTTAAGGTGCACAAGGAGTTATGGAGAATTAATTGTTGTAGTCGAACATGGAAAGTGTCTCCGATAGCACCCCTTAAATATTTAGGCATGCAAGGCACTGTAGGGAATTAATTGTTATAATCGAGCGTGCAAAAAGTCTCCAAAATCACCCATGAAATCTTTAGGCGTGCAAGGCATTGTAGAGAATTGATTGATGTAGTCATACGTGCAAAGTGTCTTTGATAACACCCCTGAAATCTTTAATATTGGCATCCACTACATTAGTTGTACCTCAGTTTCATCGTTACTGTCAACAATCACAAAGGAATAAACTATTCAGGCTTAAGTGATTTTGTTTATAACGAAAAAATTGCATGTCTATGCTATGTGGAAGTTTAGACATGTGTGCATATATATAATTGTGATAGGAAGAAGAAAATTAAATATAAACAAGTGGATATCTTGCCTATTATTTCTCATATTGGTTTCCTATTTGCTTATCCATGTTTAAGAGTGTGGAGGTCCAGGCTTTGGAACTTCCATATAAGGGAGTTCATGTCGATTTCCATAGTTGTACCTTCCCCTTGATCCCTCTAGAGCATGTGGTGTATCATTTTGGTCGCTTCAAGGTCGGCGCGTGTTGGCTCTTAAATTCGACACCCTTGTTTGTTATCAATATAGACCATTAATTATGAGTCAGAAGAGTTTCCTACATAAGAAGGTTTCGACCAGCTGATCCTGTCGAAGGCTCATCAGAGAATGACAAGGTACTTAGAGAATTTCCTTTAAGTGGGAATATTGTCGTCTTCTACGTCGAAAGGAACCTCTCGACAAAGGTACCTGATGCTCAGGGTCGAACGGTTTGAAATTTGAATGCTTGGAGGGAAAACGGTTCCCAGCAGTTACCAAGTGCAACGTGCCGAGATCAGGAGCGTCGAATGCTGTGAGCGTGCCATGTGGCATCATCTCGAAGCGACGTAACTGCTCAACGGTTACTTAGGATTTGTTTTAGTATAAATACTAGTTGCTCACGTGGTTTTCGAGGGTGTTCATCATTTTATACAAGTCACTCATCTAGATTCAAGTACCCAGCGTGAGCGAAAGAATCGTTGAGAATGTATGTGTGAAACACCATATAAATTAATCAAAGTCTTTTATATTCAAGCACTTTATTGCTTTTCGTTTACTCATCTCCGTCGAAGCCTTTTATTTAACGCTTTTATTTATTCTATCAAGCTTTTCTTCATGCAATTTACTTAAAGTGTCTTTACTTTACCGGCATTAATCACCATTAGGATTAGTCAAACTCCAGAAAATCAACCATGTCTTAGGATCAATCTGATCGATCCTGCGAGTCACCAAATAAGTAACCTTTTGGAAGATCAGCGGTTGTTTACCAATTTCCAAGATAAACAAATTGGCACACCCGGTGGGACCTTGTGTTGATTTTTAAATTTAACCGTTTTATACAAAATATCCTCCTTTTTCGAGAGTATTGCATGTTATTGAGAAGTGGTAGAATATACACCAACGATACCAATACTAGGAGAAGAAGTGAAGCGATGGCGAATCCGCCAAACAATGGCGAAATCCCATAAACAAACGTGGGAACAACGGTCATCCCAACCGTAAGTGAAATGGTAACCGCTGGTTCAACACCAGCAGTAACGGTCACACAAACGGGGCCATTACCTCCATTTACTGGCCCCAGAATACCTTTGGGAACTCCCCCACCAAGGGGAAACCAAGGAACTAGGCCTTATGTTCCCCCAGGTTTTTCGACAGTCGATCTAAATCGAGAACCACTCTATGGCATGCCAACTTCTGAATTGGCTAGCCTGACGAATGCTGCGTCCACTTTTTCAGACCCTTTAGTGAGCGCCTCTTCGCCACTCCAAGGTTCTGGAGTTGGTATGGCGAACAGGGGTAGGACCCAACTCTTAGGAGGAACGTCCCAAGTAATGCATGACCTTACGAATGCCTCGACAGCAGTCTTGAGGCAACAAATGGACGAAAGCAACCACGATATGGTTCAAATGTTGGCACAAACTTTAAGCACAATGCTAAATCCTCTAATACAAAATACCACCCAGTCGAATCAGCAAATGACACTGCAGATGGCGCGTCTGGCTGACTTTTTTGGGGTACCCCAACCTATTCGACAGCCCCAAAGGGCACAGATGAGGGGAAACTAAGGGATACTTCTAGAGGAAGAAACCACTATTAACCAAGTCCAGTAGCCTGTCGAAGAAAACCTTAGGATGCGAATGGAATAACCCGGGGTCGAAGAACCTAGAGTCATAGCCCCGGAAGTAAGGATAGTCAATAGAAACCAAAATGCTGACGAAGTAGTTCAGCAGATCCAATACCAGAATATTGGTTTGGAAAATAACTTGACAGCCATGATCGAAAGAATCATGATGCAAAATGGGATGAATATGGGCTTCCGTAGGCCCAACTTTACATCCCCACTGTCAGAATATGTGTTACAAACGGACTTACCTCCTAGATGCAAAGTCCCTAAGTTCACTAAATTTTCAGGGGACACGACAGAATCCACTGTCGAACATGTGGCGAGATACTTGATCGAAGCAGGAGAGATTTCAAACAATGAAAACCTGAGGATTAAGTATTTCCCAAGTTCCCTAACAAAGAACGCGTTTACTTGGTTCACAACTCTTCCCCCCAATTCGATCCACCATTGGACCCAGTTGGAGAGATTGTTCCATGAGAAATTCTACATGGGACAAACCAAGATAAGCCTGAAAGAATTGGCCAGTGTAAAGAGGAGATTCACTGAACCTATAGACGAATATCTAAATAGGTTTAGGTTGCTCAAAGCAAGATGCTTTACGCAAGTGCCAGAACATGAGTTAGTCGAAATAGCCACAGGAGGTCTAGATTATTCCATTAGGAAGAAATTAGACACTCAATACCTGAGAGACATGGCCCAATTGGCCGATAGGGTTCGACAGGTAGAACGCCTTAAAGCTGAAAAAGCCAGGGCGACAAAAACTCATAAAAGAGAAAGGATAGCATATGTCGAAATGGACGATGAAGATCCAGAAACATTCGACGAACCTATAACCGTCGAAGAAAGTGAGGTCGATTTAGAGGAGTTAAAACAAGGGCCACCATACTCTTGCAAACTACTAGTCCCCTCAAGTGGAAAAAACCCCACTGGTCCTGAAAGGGCCAACGATAGGTTCCCTAAAAAGACTTACAGTTTTGATATTACAAAATGTGATGAAATTTTTGACTTACTTGTAAAAGATGGCCAAATGATAATACCCCCAGGGGTAAAAGTGCCTCCTCTTGATCAAAGAAAGAATAGAGGTTTTTGTAAATATCATAATTTTCTGGGCCATAAAACATCTCAATGTTTTCTTTTCAGGGATCTCGTACAAAATGCTATCGAAGAAGGGAGGTTGAAATTCGCCGATAAGACCCCCATGACTGTGGACTCTAACCCTTTGCAGGCTGAAGCCCATTATGCTGAACCTTCAGAGGTGAATGTGATCGAGGCTTCCAGAATTCAGGTGAAAAGGCCAGGAATAACTATGGTTGAAGTCACCAAGGATCATATCAACATGCCAATCTTTGGCAGTTTTTCTGGGAATCTTTCTAGAAAAATAATCGAAGCAGTCCAAAAAGCTGCTGAAGGCCCAAAACTGGAGATAGGTGGAGCCTCAAAATCTGGAGCTAAACCCAGTTCCTACTTGGCTGCAGTCCAAGGCCAGACAGAAGACCTGGAGGCCCAGATGAAGCAGATGACTCTTGCTACCAAAGACACCATGAATGTCAACATGGTCAAAATCTCTGAATCGAAAGCTTCAGAGGAGGCCATTAGGCAAGAGCAAGCAAACAAAACGGCTTTCCCTCGAGAAAACGAAAATCTGGAAGATTTCCTGCAAAGATGCCAGAAGAAGAAGTCAGAAGTGATGTTGTGTCCTCGATGCAGCTCGATTTTCGACAAGAAAGCTGCTGAACACATCCAAGGTGTAAGAGCAGCAAACAAAAGAAGGGAAGGTGTTGATGTTCGACATGACCCCAGAAGAACCTACCAAAAGGGTTCAAATCAAGAAAAGAGGCCACTGACTTTCAGGCCTCCTACCAATGTGCCAGTTGATACGTGGCATAAAACATCGGGTCGAAAGAGACCGAGCGAAGAAAGGTGGCACTCCTTCGAAGTTCAAAGAGGTTCATCTTTGACACACAAGAAAGAACCTCAGGTTGTTGCCTCCAAAGTGACCCAGGTATCAAGTAACTACAAGGGAAAGAATCCCATGTCTCGATCCCAATGGAGAAGATACCAGAGGCGGCGAAAGGCTGAGAGGGAAGCTAT